AATCCTTTGAAGTTTTACTTTTATCCTGAATTTGAAATATCTGACTCTAAACCATTTATTTTTGCTCCTCATGGAGAAGGAACTTTTGTTAATAAAAATTCTAATTATATTACAATTGGATTTGATTATTGGGACTATAACAAAGCACGTGTTTCAGGGAAGATTAGGTTGTTTATTGTTTCACGTTATCAATCAAATTATGTAGGTCATGTTTTGACAACAACAGACTCAAATGTAATTATGAGACCAAATTATCCAAACCAAGTTATGTGTACTTTAAAGAATGGAGCAAAAAGATTTGGATATAATGGTGGAGATAAGAATGAGGTTAAAGAAGATTGTACATGTACATCAATTGATGGAAAATGGGATAAAGATGATTGCACAGAGTTTTTACAGTATTTCCAAGTTGTTGTTGATTGTAGCTATACAACATACACAAATGAACATTATGGAGGATATGCTTTCAAAGGATGCAAAGAAAATCAATTACCAATTGTTACTATTCCTGAATCATCAACAGTGATATTAGAAGATATGAGAGTTAAAGAGAATGGTGTTCATTTTGAAGTTAGTGGAAAATTAACTATCAGTTTAACTATTCCATCAAGTTATCCACAAATTTTGCTCAACCAAGTTGGGTCTGGAACAATCACAATTAGTAGTGTTACTGTAGAAGGTGATATTCCATTTGATCAGTTATTATTTATAAGTAACAGTGATAGTGTTACTGCTATTGGTTTAACAGGATATTGTAGTGGAGGATCTTATAGACGATATGCTAAAGAAGGTTCTAACGAAGAAGTGATGTGTGACTGCCATTTCAATGAGAATATTTTAGGTGACTATTACAGTGAAGTTGATTGTGAAAAAGATTCTGAGTATAGAAATTTAATATTGCCTACAACACGTGAAATTACTGCACCTCGAACATGGAAATCATTGGTAACTGAGTCAATATTTGACATTTCAGGTAAACATAAGTTAAAGGCTGGTTCAATGACAGTAACCTGTTCAGGAATTATTAAAACACCAGTAGAAGTCACAACACTTACAAGTAATAAAAATAATGGAATAGTGTTTTTTGGAGAATTGACAGTAACAACAATAAATACTGACATTACAAATGACGTTGTATTACTTTCATCATCAAGTAATGTTGGTTCATTATCAAAAAGTTGTGATGGAAAGATTAATGGGTCAAGTAGGTTCTACACTGGAACAGATCCAAAATGTAATTGTGAATACTCTGAAAAGTCTTTCAAACAAAGAGATTGTTATGTGTTACCTAAATATGAAGAGTCATACTTTTCTTTGGTTACTTCAAGTTATAAACCAATAAGAAAAGAGTATTATTCAAATATTATATCTACTTCATCATTCTCACTGAGTGGTTCTGAAACATTAACTATCCAGAGTTGTGATTTTTCATCATTAAAGAGTGTCACAATTGAATCTTCTTTGTACTGTAAAGTAATGAGTGTTGCAAAAACAACAAAAATAAAAGTTTCTGCACTACTCACAGTTGAAACGTTCAATATCCCATCAGAAAAGTACATTAATAATGGTGCTATTATCAGTGTTACTTCTCCAGAATACTTATTAATTAAAACAGTTTCTGGAAATGTATGTTCCGATATTGCATCATCCACAAATCCATTCAATTCAGACACGTACAAAACAGTACAAGGATGTACTTTATTGTCAAACAACAAACTATTAAGATATTGCCCTACTTCTAATACTGAAGACACTGTCAAATGTTTTATGAAAGGATCTGACTATACAACATCTTCTTCTTTCGACAAAGAATATTGTCCATGCGAATCAGCTAACTGCTACATATATCCAACAACAACATCTATTGATTTGAAATTAAAACCAATGGAAAACAACTTTGTGATTGGAGGTACTTCTCTTACACAAGAAATAACTAATCTAAAAACCATCACTGCTTTAATAATTACATCAGACTCAAAAACTATTAATATTTTATCAACAGAAACAGCTCATTTTCAGTCATTAATTGTTGATGGAAAAAGTAATACCATTTCACTCGGTCATTCATCTAATTTGATTAGTATAAATAAAATTAATGTTAATTCTGAACAGAATCGAGTCAGTGTGTATGCTCAATCAATTTCTTCCATATTTTCTAAAACAACAAACATAATTCATATTATTAACCCAAATGAAGTTAATGTTAATTCTATGACATATGGAACAACAACATTCAATTCTATAACAAGCAAAGACATACTTATATCCAATGAAGAGTCTTCAATTTCATTGACCTCAGAGGCTAAAATAAATTCTATTAGTACAGATGCTGTGACGTTGCAATTCAATTCTAAAGTGATAATTAACTCAATAAACCCAACGGCAATGGGAGTTTTAATCAAATTATATAAAAGTGAAAGTGAAATTAAGTCATCTACAGGAACATACTTATACACTGTCTATTGTCCATCAGCAATAAGCATTAAAATAGGAATGGAAAGTAAAACCCCAATTTCACTTGAATCTTATGGAACAGTTGAATTTACATCATCAACAATCACTCTTGATACAGTTAGTTCAGGATCTTCATCAAATCTCATCATTGGAAGTGATGTCACAACATTCACCCTCAATAAAATTATAACCCAAAAAACATATGGAGAGATATTTACATTATCTCCTTCAACAAACCAACTCACCATTAACCTTGCAACAGACTATGATTCTAGTATTACTAACCCAATGATCTTATTCTATACTAGAGCTCGAAGGGTTAATATTGATAAACAGTGTGATGGAGTCGCAATCCTTTCAGGAAGTTATTCTGACGAAATTACAACATGTAAAACACTTGGGCTGTACAACAGAGAGTGTAGACTGACTGATTCTGGATATATCTACAATGATTTCACTGATTACTCATGTCCATGTTCATCTACAAAATCAAATTGTAAAATATCATTATTTTCATCTCAATCTACTTACCAATATCCTACTGGACTCCAACCAACTACGTTAATACTAGAAAGTGACACAGCACTGACATCAATAAACAACGTTATGTTTATTCTTCAAACAAGTTTATATTCATTAACACTCTCAGGAAATAATTCAGTAGTCTCAGTAAGTTCTTCTGATATTTCTTCTATTTTATTAACAGTTACTTCATTAGAACATGGATTTATTCTTCATTCACAAATAAAGTCAATGACAATTAATACAAAGGCATTACTGAAATCAACAAGTAAGAGTTATGAGTTGCTTTTAGGAGAAACTACTTCATTATGTGATTATTATTTATTCAAAGAAGGATCTGCTCTTTGTCAGAAATGTAAAGAAGGGTCTGTTCTTATTAACAACGCTTGCTATACATCTATAGACATTCCTCATTGTACAAATTATGTTAAAATGTCATCTGGAAT